AAAAGAATCAAAAACTTATTGAAAAACGATATATTGCGATAACTGCACGGGAATGTCGATATAAGATATTGTCTGTTTTGTAATCGGAGAATCATGTACTAAAAATGTTGTGAATGTACTAGTTTGGAATGTCAGCATTGTAAGAACAATGTATTGAATGTAGAAGAACAATGCCAAGAACTTAAGAACCAGTTGATCAAATAAGTGAAAAAAGAAATCGTATATCATTCATTTTGTGAACGCCATTCAGAGAATATTCGACAATTATGTTCTGTGTATACGGGACGGAAATTCCCTCAAAGCAGAAACAAATATGATAAAATTTTTTACAAATGCGATTTTGATTTATCGAAATATTTTGAGATGTGTTCCTCAATACCGAACTTTAACTCGTTGGATTTTACGGATACATACCCATTTGAGTTTGGCGTTTTTTTTAGGAGACATCGACGAATGACATGATGGTTATAATCAAAAACCAGGTATGATGATATAAAATAAGAAAATTAAGATCTGATACTAGATTGTGGGTATAACAAATAACTACAACACAGCAACCGGATGTAAACTAGTAAGTGAATGTCAACAAAAATATCTGAAACAATTTTGAAACAATATGTTTCAGAATATTCCCCTGATGGTGATTCAACAAAGAATGTAGATACAGATATTTAAGGACAATGTTGTAAAGATTTACAAAACTTCGCCAAATCATGACTGAAGCGAATAAATTGATGTTCTCAGTCCCAAATTTCTAAAAAATTTATCATTTTAACCCGATTAAACGGACAACTTGTATGCTCACTCAAATATCGGACCATAATATGTAACACTTACGCACAATATTAACATGGTGGTACAATGGTTATTATTGTTTAGCAAATCAAATCAATATAAAGCCAAAAAGACAATATGAACGCACCACTAGCAAAATATTGCAAAGAGAATAAATTTAATTCACTTTTTGCAGAGATTTTAATGATGACAACAAGGCCATTTTTTGACAAAACTATGAGTTTGTTTATTACCAACTTATTTCGGAAGATAGTTCTCGTCATAAATCAAAAAAGGGTTTCGTTGTTTTATAATGCAAGCGTTGAGTATGCATTGGTACAGTCTTTATAAGCGTAGCTTACTTGCTTCAAAAGCCTTGGCGATTGGAAGTTTGCTATCGAAAATAATAAAAACAAAAACATGCTAATACTAATAGGGCTTCCCTTGTGTTTTAATACTGCCGACTTCTAATCATCCAAAAGTTTCTTTCTATCCATAACGATATAGATAACGTATTATATATATATTCTTCTTTTACGTATTGTGTGTTTGCTAAGCTGGGATAATATTGCTCATCCGATTGTACGAATTCATACGTGTAGACAACATGAGTCGCATTTACGACGCCATTTCACACAAAATAATTTGCTACTTAGGTTAAATTTTATTGAAATTTGAATATAATAATGATAATGATAATGATGATAATGATGATATAATAATAATAAGCGTTTTAAAGTAGTTTATAAAATTTTCATCCCGAGCTTGCTGCAATTATGACAACAGTTCCAATAAGAGTAGTCCCAATATCTCGGCCTCTTTCCACAAAATTTACAAATCATATCATTATTGACATGAAATTCAATCAAATCGCTTTCGTAAACAACTCCATTTTTAATGTCAAACGTTTTTTCCGCATTACCTTTTAACGTCAGCTGTTTTAATTTTGGACATTTATTCTTAATTATTTTAATTGCCCCGTTATAAAAAAAATTATAGTGTATTTCAATTTTTTTAACTGAGTGTGTAAACAACACGTTCTCTTTTTTCAATTCCTCAAACAAATCAAACGATCTCTTTCGCGCACGAAGATCAAACCGTTTATTGAACGTTAGAGTTTTCCAAAAATGCTTACTTATTACAGTATGCCATTTTTTACAAACCGTTGCCCATTCCAATATGGTTGTTCTTTCTTCTTGAGCATAGTTAAAAATTATTTGCATCCAAATTTTCTTTGATAGTATATCAATGCCTTTTTTTGATTTATTATTAGGATTTTTGCTACTATTCGATAATTTCACACGCTTGTTGGAGTTGTTGCTGCTGATATTTACAATGTTATCATCGTTCTTTCTTTTTTTCATATTTAATTTTAAAATTTGTAAATTTTTTAATCCACCTTGTTGTCGTTGCTGGTGCCGTTCTCCTCTCATTTATATATTAATTAACAATTTTTGTGTAACATGGGTTGGGTGGGTTATTTTCACGAAAAAACCAGACGTATGAACAATCTTTTATGTGTTTCCGTAGTTTTTGTAAAATTATTGAACGTTTACTTCGTTAAATGAGGATATTTTTAGTGTCTTGAATTATTAGATAAAATTGTGTTACAGCCAAACCTGTTTATAATTACATTGTACTGACGACTACAATAAGCTGTTGACGATTCTCTTTATTGACGCAGTATCTGTGGAACTGTCACTGAGAGTTTCTCAGATAATACCGATATTCTTAAATTGATTCATTATATTAACTGATAGAAACGTAGACATCTTTAACTAGTGTTACCAAGTACGTATGAAGCAAAAGAAAAAAGACGCAATCGAGTTCTGGCATGAAGGCAGAGTAATAAATAGTAACCTATTCCTCCGCTTAACTGCGTTTATTCTACGCCGCAGCACGGAATAAGAAAATATATCACGGAGTTGTCGAAAAATTCCAATTGCTCTAGTTCAAATAAATGTTTTCCGCATTTCCAATACTAGTGAAACAGCAAAATAGCTATGAGTGGGGTGTAGAAAGACATCGTGAATCGTACCTGTAAGAATTAATACTATCTTCCAAATCCCTGTTTTGTTTCAGGAATTTCGAACATTGTCGGGAATGTATTCCCAAAAGATAATCATTACTGCATTAATATTCTTCTCGTTAGATTAGTTTGCGTGTCATCCTGGGACACCAATTTCAGCCCAACGAGCCATGTTATACAATGAAAACTTGTCCAAAAGCGATTTGTTGAATCTACTTTCTATTGTTTCAGCTTCAGCCCCCACATTTATTACCAAATTAGTGATTTATATTAATTTGTCAATTTATATAGCGTTTTTAGTGAATTCTAACGATTCTATCAACTTATACTAGAAAATATCATAATTCAAATTTATATGGAGCCATGATGTATTCTAAAAAATTCGCATCACCCCAGGTCAAGTGAGGCGGGTTAATATAGTAACGTTCTAATAAATTTTGGTATTTTTTTTATCTGTAATATCTCTTGAAGAAGCTATGTTAGTAGAATACGAAAGCAAATGAAATCAATAAACATTAATGTCACTTGTAAAACACACATTTTGTAAAATAATACGTGAGAAAGTACCGGCCGGCTAATCAACTAATAAAAGATATTGGAGGAGATCACGTTTAAATGGATGAATAAAGCGCGAAATGAAATAATATCAAGTGCATAGACTAATTTTTAATTGCTTATTAACATTCAGATTGACTAATATTAAGATAAAACTGTCACAAACTTTTGCTTGAAGTTGTGTGAAACAAATTTACATTAAATTCACCACACAATCTTTACTAGATCCTTGGACAATCCTGATACTTAGCCATTTTAATTTGGAGTCATTCAAACATCAGAGTCTTTGCTATTATGTCATCTGCAAGTGATAAAGAGTGGAAAAATAAAGTGAACTTTCTTGTTGACTCATTTCAACTGCTTGCATTAAATAAACTAAATAGTAAAAAATACTCAAGATATGATGACAGTTTAATATACCGAATGGTTGGATAGTAAACAATTGAGCTGGTAAGCAATTGAGCGCACAATACACATTCTTGGCAACTTGCCATGAACCACAACCTTAGTTATGGGATAACCTCAGTTCTTCGGAATGACAAGTCAGTGCATTGTCTTCTATGAACGCAAGTCAAGACAGGTGTCCCCCGAAGGATTAACCGCAGTTTTTGACTAACCCTGAAATGGCTTACATTATAGGGTTAAAGTAATCCTTTTGCTAGGATATTTAGAAAATAAAATCAAAAATCAGTACAAATGATCAGTAAGTATTATTATGCTTGATGAAATACTTACAGAGCATCAAAAGAAAAATTTTCATTTCTATACATGCGCTCACAGTATAACTCTTGACAACCAAACATGAGCCACAACTTCAGAGCGTTATGGTATAACCTCAGTTCCTCTGAATGTTCAGTAATTATACTGTCTTCTGCAAGAGAATCTGGTTACAAATAAGTCCTTCTAAACTCTCTGAAGAAACAGGACCCACTTATGCCAGTTTACATCCCACAGGACATGACCTACTGTGTGAAAGAGACAGGATGCGGTTAATAACAATAATCTAGATGTAATCTTTTGCTAGGATATTCAGAGAATAAAATCAAAAATCAGTACAAATAATCAGTAAGTATTATTACGCTTAACGAAATACTTACAGAGCATCAAAAGAAAAACCTTCAAACACGAGCCACAACTTCAGAGCATTATGGGATAACCTCAGTTCCTCTGAACGTTCGGTAATTATACTGTCTTCTGCGAGAGACTCTGGTTACAAGTAAGCCTTCTAAACTCTCTAAAGAAACAGGACCTTCTTATGCCAGTTTACGTCTCACAGGACACGACCTAAGAGACAGGACGCGATTAATAACGATAATCTAGATTTCTTTTCAGTGCAGAATCTTAATCCTTTATTGTTGTAAAGAGTTGTGGTCCAGCGCAGAATCCTCTGTAATGGTGGGGTGTGACACGAAGCGGTGTGGGGGTGCAAAGCGCCATGACAACGCGTAGGAGCCGCTGGGGTAAAAGGCCACCGCAGGCCTTAAGGCGGCAAAGGAATCAGTGCAAAGATAAAAACCTGAATGGTGGAGCGCCAGAGACAATAGCTTAATTACCATCATCCATGGCAGATTTCGTAACTGATCGACACTAAACGCGTACATTAAAAAGTGCGAGCTATTCTCTTTTTTTGCACACGGCAACCATGAATTCTTCACAGATCAGTTTCTTTATTGATGAGGAAAGACCTACACCAGTGGCGTTCTGTCAGAAGTTCAATTACTTATCGAAAAAAAAAGCTCTCTCGGAATGGCACAGTGCACTCCAGGCATGTCTCGCAATTCGTAAGGACGATCTACGACTGGTTGAACTCGAACAACAGTATAAAAAGGGTCATTACGCGAAAGCTATCGACGATTACTTTAAACTATCATCATCTACTCGTCTTCTTGAGAAAAAGAGGGTTTGTTAAAGATGCTTGTTTATGTGACCAATATATTGAATCCAAGCTTAAGGTACTTCACATTTTTGCCAGACCTCTGTTGACAGAACACTGACCAAAAAAACGGGCAAGGCAATTCGAAAACGTATCGATGATCTCCTCCCTGAGGAGAATGGTAACCAGGAACATTCAAAAAAGCCTCGCCTCACAGAGTCAAATCGGAATGATGATAGTTCGGTATTAAAATTAGCAGATTCGGCAATAAATGAAGGTAATCACAATTTGTGTTCGTCATCATCTGTTCCGTCTTCCAATTTTAATAGTGAAGAAGGTATTAATGCATCCTAATTTCTACAACATTACTAAGAGAAACTAATCTGGCTGTAACAGGTACGAATGACGAACATTTGAACGTTCGGGAGCTACTAACCAAAAAAGGTATTTCCATTTATCAGATGCAAACAAATCAAACGCATTGTTGTACTAACGCTAATCGTAATTTGTCTAGAACGACGTCAGACGCGTTATTCGTGGGAGAGCATTATTGATCGGATTGATTGCAGGAGTACCTCTAAAGATGATGTAAATATATACATAACGGTTCGTTACATTCATTACATCATTAACCATAACTATATGTAATATTTTCAGTGGGTCTACGAGAATTATAATATCTCTGCTGAGTTCAGGTATTTTCAAAAGTCGACCATTGAACAGATTAAAAAAAATACTATGCACATACCAGAACTTCGGGTTTAATGAAGGCCGAATTAATACGCGATTTCTTATAAATTGGATGGGAGTTGAGGCCTAGACAGATAAGTTTTCGCTTGATTACATTGCAGAATTACATTACATTACAATGGCTGACTACCTTTTTCAAAATCATGGTAAACCCAGCAGACTAACATTCAAGAAGTGGTTGGAGCATACGTGGAGGACGATGCCATACCAGAAGATGACACGCCAGCGGCAATCAAGAAATACGAGAGTGACCTGGAAAAGGCCATTAAGTTATGCAAAAGGAAGAATGTGGGGAGAGCAAATCTGGAGAAAGTTTCTTCTGAGTTTGTTCTCATAGTAATAGACCGGGTAAGCATTATAATTATATTATTAAGATTAAATGATGATAGCATACATGGTAGTGGAGGTATCAGAGAGGATCAAGATATGCGCATATCTAAATAAATAACTGAAACCAGTATGTGCACGAAAATGAGTTCGGTCGCCGGCGTATATGCTAGTATACTAGCCTCTGCGTAGCTTGCTATTAGACGTGAGCGTCGGTATCTTAACTCACTGATATAAATTGATTATTGTTATGTTTAGTAATTATAATACCAATCTGAAAGTAATGTCAGCACTAAAAACTTTATTATTCAAAGTATAAATCTAATACTAATCATTAATGTTTATAATATTGTCAGGCACTCATTACTACAAAGATTTATCCTGATGTCTTCAGGAAAGTCAAGAGAGAGGTGAGCATTCTATTTATTGCAAGAAATATCTACCTACCATGCATAACTGACTTTTACTTCAGTATCAGCAAAATGAACAAAAGGCCAACAAGGAGCTGATTCAAGAGAACATTTGAATACTAATGGCCTTATGTGTGAGTAGTAATTTTTTAAGTTTATTGATTATAATTGACTCTTCATATCTAATATTTATCTGAAAATTTTAGGGGTATGCATCAAATGATGATGACTGCTCAGTGGCTGAGAAGCGGATATATGAGGAGGTCAGAAAATTCCTCAGTAAACTTAAATTCAAAGAAATTGCCACAGATTCTCCAATGGGCTCAGGAATATTGGATCTTACAAACCATGGCAACAAGATTGCAGAGAGGCTTCCACAGGATGTTCAGGAAGCTCTCACGAAGCATGAGCTCAAGGAAGTAATCCTTCCAGCAGAAGTGGAGAAAATGCTAGATGAGTTCATAGCACCCACAATAAGGGTCTAAAGAGGGTGAGACCAGTCAATTTCCCTGGTATTGAGGATAATATAGACCAGGAGCTGGAGGATGCATTGTTTGTAACTCATGGGTTGCTGGAGGGATTGCAAGTGTATATTGTGTATTCTGGTAGTTTATTGATTAATAACAATAAGTAATAATGTTATTGGACTTTTATAGATGACAAATTTGGAAATGCAGGCCTTCTTTTGAAAGAGCTGACTATAGCGAAAATGGTTATGTGGTCCTTGCCATTTCAAAAATCTTGGATCCCATTTTTGCTTGCGATGAAGATGAAACACTGGCAATGCATGCATGGTAAAGATTTGGTTTTAAATTCATTGTACTTTATTAGTACATTCAATTAATGTCTTACATTTATTTATTATTTACAGGGCCAAACAAGTAAGCCAGTCATCCCATGAACGTAAAGTGAGGATGAATGCAATGACATTTGGTAATAAGCCTGACTTGCATGTCAGATTGTTTTTTCCTGAAGACAACTCTGATGCAACAAGGAAAATTTTCGAGGTGAAAACCCAGATTTTAAAATCATGACAAATACAAAAGAAGAGATTCTTTTTGGTGAAGTCAAGACAAAAGACTCATCCTTATTGGTCAATAAAGATCTTGTCAAACTCTCCAACTTTCAAGCAGGTGCCTTAGATGAGTTGGTCAAAAAATACGGAAACAAAATTGGGTTGACTTCTTTTGGTATTTGGATTTGTGGTAAGTGATAAAATTGGTATGATTTTTTTTAATGCATTTATTAATACACATTTTAAAGGTACGCGTATTCGCGTTTACGAAATGGACCTGAACTATGATGGAATGTATAGAATGTTCTTGACGGCAAATGTAATGACTCCAACGGAAGGAGCACAATTCTTAAATTTGATACCAGTACTAGAAGCATTATATAATGTTAAAGTAAGTAATAGTAGTCACTGTTTGCAATTCTAGAACAAATTGTTATGATATTAAAATATTTAATGCATTTAAGGACCGTATTTATGAAGTATTGAAGGTAATCACTTCTGATACTCCACCTAGTTCACCACGTTCTACCTTTTGCCGAAATTAGTCAAGATTACTATTACTGGTCTACAGTCAAAGTAATTTACACAGTGAAAGTCGATATAACGGATTCGTCGGGACAGGCACCAAAACCGTTATATCGTGACAATCCGTTTTTACCGAAAATCCGATATAGCAAGCTCAGAAAATGCTTGATATAACGGTTTTTATTTATTACTTGATATTTATTAAGTTTGTCAATGTACACGGTAAAAGTATATATTTGTCA